TCACCAGTTATCAGTTACTTCAAAAAAGGATTGTTTTCCTCTCGTTTCATAAGCATATTGCAGATGTTTATATGCACTGTCAAATGAACTTCTTTGAGTTCATGAGGAACCCAAATATCGAGCTTGCTTACATATCCCAGCTTCTTCAGGTGGTCATGAACACTTGAATGATGGATGCTCAATGTTTCTGCAATCTCTCATGTCATGTAATGTGGGTTTAACTTGATCACTGCCTTTATTTTGTCATTATCAACCTCGGTGGGCCTCCCTGAGGAATGTCATTGAGATCAAAATCACCAGCATGAATTTCGTGAACCATCATTGGCACTGACGTTCTTGTAGAACATTGTCACTAAACTTAATGCAACTTTTCACAAGCTTGATACATGTTCTTCCCTTTATGGAAGTAAAACAGTAAAATATGGCAAAAATGCAAGTTTGTCTTCCATCTTCAACGTGTTGTAAAATCTCCAAAACTCAACCAAATTGCTCAATTTTTTTTACAATGAAGCTAGAACTGTCAGCTGTCAAATGACATAGCAATAACATAGATGTGAATGACTCTAGTGCTTCCAAAAATGAACTACTGCCATCTGTTGCAAACATGCGTCATGACTTTTCCAACAAGCCAATAATTCAGCAGGATTCTTTCCCTGCAGATTTCTCCCACTTTCTGCCTATCACTCTGAACCTATTTATGATTCCCTGGCACTCTCCACATACCACATTCACAGATTAAAATTCTGATTTAATATATCCCACATTAAATGCAAACTCCTGCCTCATCTGCATTCAGAAATTCTGAGATGTGTTATTTACACATTTTTTTTTCAAAAAGTTTAAGTGAAAACAGATTATCTTTAGACTGATATCACCAAAGCCCATGACACCACTGCTTGTGTGCTTGAACATCACTTCTGATGAAATTTTCATGAGGTATTGTCATCTTGAAACAGGGCCCTGCCAATGGTCTGATTACTACGGTTAGAACCTCAGCCCAAAGCAGAAAGATAAAGGGTTTTGATTGTTACGTTTAAAAGTGATGCCAAATATTCACAAGAACTAGATGAAAGTTCAGACTCTTTGAATAGTTCCCATCCTGGGAGTCTGTGTTAAGAAAATAATTCAAAAGAATTTTTAAAAATCCATCTACATGAATATGTTTATTTCAACATTACCCATAAATAATGTGAAATATTAGCACCAATGCTAGTATCTAAAAATACTGGAAGAGTTATGTAAATTATCATGAATTAATTCAATGGACTATTATAAAGCCACTTATCAAGACATCATTATAAAATCAGACTTATCGAGACTACATAATAACTTAGAATAAAGTTTAGAAGCAAATCATAAATGGAAAATGAAAACTGAAAAATTGCACTTAAACACTAGAATGAAATAATACAAATTAATAATTAAGATATAAAAATTATTTTCCTAAAATTTTTTAAAGTATTGTTTCTCTCTTGATTTTATAATAAATAAAATTGGAAGAAAATAATACCTGAAAATCTCTTCTCCGAGGCCAATTAAAAGCCTAAAAGCTTGAATTTTCCTATTCCTATGTCCAAAATTAAATTATTTTCAGAACCAGCGGGACCACACCATCTAAGACCGAAGGTGAAAATACACAGTTCCAACATTTGAAACTTGTTTTAGACAGATTTAGAATCATGCCCAGTAGCTTTAGTGGGATATAATAACCACAAGAAAAAGAAATGGTAAAGGAGTTGTTACATTATAAACCACTTGTCCTCAAAACCAAGATGAAGTAAACTGTACTTGATTAGAAGTTCAAATATCAGAAGTCATAAATGTAAGAAGTGTCAGAAAATGATCCATCTTGGACCAGAAATGTCCTTTTAGCCCCAAGAGTTAATGATTTCCAGTCCCTTAGTGAAGAGGAATGGGGTGTTAATGTCAGAACTCAGTGACTTTCTAGAAGAGAAAACTCAGATGGCATTACTCCCCGTCCAGGAGGTGCTACAGCCACCCCTTCTTGGCACCATCATGGTACTTGTATCAGAAGCCATGAAATGTACAGCACCCTAGATACAGAAATTATGTCTCCTCTTTATATTAATCCTTCCTCATAAAATCTCATCCGTAACTTTTAAAAAGACTTTTCTTGTGATGAAACTATGAAAAATGTTGTTGAAAAATCAAACAAAAAGAAATCCAATGTACTCAATGTTCCAAAGTGAAATTGCACACGTCCTGGTCTGATCCATTTTCTTTATTTTATAATTAAGTGCTTAAATGGCTTAAGAAGCTTCTGGCTTTGTTAAACAATCTGGAAACAGTAAGAACTTTTCCCCAAACAATTAGCTGTCAAATTATTCCTCAAATAATGTATTGTTTCCTGATGCTAGCGTTGAAATGCCAAGGCACTCTGATAGATAACTGTTTGAAAATGTATGCTCAAGGCTTTTAAACAGCATGAGATATTGGTTTTGGAAACAGCTCTTGAGCGGATGGACAAAGCCAGGAGGAAAGGGGAGAGATAGTAATTGAGGTGCCAGTAATAGGCCTATTTTTTTACTTTGGCATATTAATGTTGGCAAAAGTGTTCCCAGGAGTTGTCCAACAGCAATTAGGCTGGATTTTTTTCCCCCCCAAAAAGAAAACAACCTCCATTTCTGTGTAAATGAAGAGTTCCACATGTTGGAATGAAATGAGAAAAAGCATAAGTCAGAAAAAAATAGAAAACATCATCTAAAAAGTGTTACCAGTTACATTTTCTAACTGTGGAAGGGACTTTCTAAATTTCACTTCAAAGTAAAAAAAAAAAAAAGTAGTTCTCTGTTAAGTTGATGTGTTTAATTGGGTGTTACTATTTGATATAAAAGTACACTGTCCAGGGCCGGCCGAGTGGCGCGATGGTTAAGAACTCGCTTGGGATGCCAGAGGGCCCCGGTTCGGATCCCACATATGAGGGCCAGTGACACTGCCCTCTACAGCTAAGATGCTGAACAACAGCTCAACCTGGAGCTGGGCTGTCATGAGTCGCCGGCGACGGCGTGGGCTGCAGTCCCTGTGGCAGTGGATTGCAATGGGCTACCGTGTGTGGCCAGCAGCCAGCGTGAGCGGCCAGCAGCCGCAGTGAGCGGCCGTCCAGAAGCCGGCGACTGATCTGCCTCGCCAGAGAAGAGCGCAATGATGGTGCCAACTTGGGCCAGTGAAGCAACGTCCTCCACAACTAGATTGAAGAACAAAACGACAGCAACTTGTCTGTTCCCCTTTCCCCAATTCCCCAGCACTGTTCCCATCACCCCAATTCCCCAATAAAAATCTTTAAAAAAAAAAAAAAAAACACTGTCCAATACGGCAGCTACTGGGCACATGTGGCTACCGGGCACTAGTCCAAATTAATATGTGCTATATGTGTAACACACACCATGGATTTCAAAGATTTAATATAAAAAAAGAATGCAAAATATCTCTTCATATTTTTCAAATTGAAATTATAATATTTTACATATACCAGATTAAATTAAAATATTATTAAAATTATTTGTACCTGTTTCTCTTTTCTTAATATGACTACTAGAAAATTTGAAAGTATACATATGGTTCATACTGTGGTTCTCTTTATATATTTCTATTGGACAACCTATAAAGTGAATCAAATTGGATTACATTCCTTTAAAATCCCTTCTAGCTCTAGAATTCTAACATGAAGAAACTGCACACTCAAGCTAACAAGTTTTATATACAAAATTATTTTAGAGAAACCTTGGTTTAGTCACTATTTCATTACTTCTCACATTTTTCACCCACACCTCCCCCCTCCCCCAGCACTTTCTGTTTCCTATGGATTCCTAATAGCCACAGAAAATGAATCTGTCAATTTATCTATTTATAAACTGCAAGTATGCAGTTTATAGGGCCATTCTGAATTACTATTTGGTTATATTCCTTTTTAATTCATACCATACTGATGCATTTTTAATGGTCTGTAAAGAATAATGAACTCGATGCCTTTTTCAGTTTTAATATTCATAAAATAGGAATTTTAGAATTAGAGAATATTAAAGATCTTATATTCCAATGGTCCCAAACATGCTGGCACCTCTGCATCACCTGGGGAACACATGGAAAATATTCATTACTAGGCTTAATACCTGGAGAGTCTGACTCAATAGGTTTGGAATGAGACAGGATCCTACACTTTTTTTTTAATTAAAGTTTATTGGAGAAGATTTTTGCAAACAACACCTCTGATAAGGGGCTAATACCCAAAATATATAAGGAACTCATACAACTCAACAACAAAAACACAAACAATCCAATTAAAAAATGGGCAGAGGGCCTGAATAGACATTTCTCCGAAAAGAACATACAGATGGCCAACAGACATATGAAAAGATGCTCAATATCATTAATCATCAGAGAAATGCAAATAAAAACCACAATGAGATATCACCTCATACCAGTTAGAATGGCTATCATCAACAAGACAAGAGTTGGAGAGGCTGTGGAGAAAAAGGAACCCTCATGCACTGTTGGTGGGAATGCAGATTGGTGCAGTCACTATGGAAGGCAGTGTGAAGGTTCCTCAAAAAATTAAGAATAGAATTACCATAAGACCCAGCAATCCCTTTCCTGGGTATCTACCAAAAAAATCTGAAAACATTTATCTGTAAAGATATATGTGCTCCAATGTTCATTGCAGCTTTGTTTACAGTGGCCAAGACATGGAAACAACCGAAGTGTCCTTCGATAGACAATTGGATAAGGATCCTATACTTCTTAAAAAGCTGCCCAGGATAAAAGAAAAAAAAAGGTGCCCAAGTCACTCAGAGATTCAGTCAGGTTTGGGGACCAGTGGTCTAGTCTAACTTACTTCACCTGTAATTGGGGTAAAATTACTTGTCCTAGTGCTAAAGCCCAGTAACCTCTGACCTAGAACCAGGATGCAGGGCTCCTAACTACAGGTCAGTGCCATTGTTGAGAGACATTCTGTCACACACACACACACACACATTACTCACTTCTCAAGAGCTCCAGCTATCAGTATATCTTCCTTGTCAGTTTTAACATCCAACTCTGGTTCTCCATTAAGCAGAAGCTTCAAGTTATAAATAACCAGCAAAGTACCTAGTGGAAAATAGATGTTTGACTTGTCAATATTTTAACTGCACTAAATATTAGTCATGGTGATAATACCCCATCTATTGACTTAAGCCTTCTCTAGGCCAAATTTCCCTTTGTATGTCAGTAAATATGCTTGGACGACTTCCAAGATATAAGTCTTATAGAAATACCACTTTCTGCCAAAGAGTGTTGAGTTTCTACAGTACAGCATTTCTTATTACTGCTCAATTCATTATTAAGTCTTTCAATGTGGAGTCTTAAACTTGGGCACTCTTTTCAAAATTTGCATTATGAAAACTGTTATGAGCCTTAGCCAAATTTTATTATAGGTAAAACTCTCATTGGTAGAACTAAAATCAATGTGCATAAGAACAAATATGAGTTTTTTTAAATTTGTACATATGTAAAACATTGCTTTTAGACCCTATAACAGGTGCTGGCAAGTTTTTTCTGTAAGGGCCCAGGTAATAAATATTTCTGGCTTTGCAGGCCATATGGTCTGTGTCGCAACTACTCACAACGCTACCACTGTAGCATGAAAGCTGCGACTGAGAATACATAAATGAATGAGTGTGGCCATATTCCAATAAAACTTTATTTACAAGAACAGGTATGGGGCCAGATTTGACCTATGGGCAATGGTTTGCTGACTCCTGATCTAAAGCACAGGTAACACAAAGTCTGAATTCTTTACAGCATTGTTTATGATATGAAGAACATCAGGATTGTCAGAGAAATTAAAAGATCAACCAATTATACTTTTCTCTTTTTTTTTTGGTAGTACTTAAATATAACGGAAAACAGCATAGTGGTTAAAAATTTGACTTTGGGAGCCTACATGCCTGTGTCTAAATCCTAGATCAACCATTTACTAGTGCAATGACCTGAGATAAGATTCCTAACCTCTTTGAACCTAATTTTTTGAATCTATACAGTGAAGCTTACAAGGTACCCAAAACATATAGTTGCTTTGAGGATTAAATGAGTTAATTTTTATAAACCATTTAGAAAAGTATTCAGGAAATAGTGCACTCTTCATTAGTATTTGTAGTATATCCCAATTAGAAGTCAACTAAGAGATTACATTAACTGTCCTCAAAGTATATCATGTATATGTTAATAAAATTAATACTTATTTAATTGCCACTATTTTTCCTCTATGCGAAAGGGTAAAGGATGACACAAAACACCACTATAAGATATAGATGATAAAGATGAACTGGGACTTTTAAGAAAACTGATTAGGCTGGGAGATCTATGGGAGGAGATGGGCTCATGGACGTTCATGAGAACACCTAGTCAAATTCTATGGTCCTAACTTCCTTTTCATAAAACTCTATCGTTCTAACTTCCTGTCTCCCTGCCTTAAATATTCTCCATCTTAGTACACAAGCCAGAATGTGCACAGGGCTTACGAGGTCTGCACATGCTGGTGCTGGGTTACAGTACTTTTTCCTTTTCCTTTTCCTTTTTCCCAAATAAATCCTTTTTTGTGATGGAATACTTAGCCAATATAATTATTCAGTTGACACAAAGAACAAATGGAAGGCTGCCAGATGAGAGGGGGTTTGGGAGGCCGGGTAAAAAAGGTGAAGGGATTAAGAAGCACAAATTGGTAGTTACAAAATAGTCACAGAGATGTAAAATACAGCATAGGAAATATAATCAATAACATTGTAATAACTATGTATAGTGCCTGGTGGATATTAGACTTACTGGGGAGGATCTGTTCGTAAATTATATAAATGTCTAACCACTATGCTAAACACCTGAAACAAATACAAAATAATATCGAATGTCAACTATAATTGAAATTTTTTAAAATCACTATTAAAATGCTACAGGTTAAGAAGTAATGAAAGTGACATAGGCTAAGTCAGAAACAAATTTCTCAGAATTTCTGTATAAACATTATATAAATCAAAGAGTTGCAAAAAGCAGAATACACATAGCTTCTCTAGAGTAGAGTTATGTTTGCTTCTAGATATGAAAAGTGGTGGAAGTCTAGAGAAAAGACTGGCACTGGAAAATGTTACTGGACAGTACAGTCTACATGTTGAGTGGAAAGTTGGCAGAGGCTGAAAGAATACAAAAAGATCTGTTAATGTGAAAAAGAATATCTACAAAGCTTTTGCTTCCTTCCACAGAAAACTGGATTCACTACTTTATAAATAGCTAACTCTTACAACCCTGGGATCATCTACCCTTAGATACTACAGTGTCTTCTAACTTTGCTGTCTGGTGTAGGGACTGTGAAGCCCCTGTGGTTATGGCTTGGATCATCCTCTTTGCATCATTTTCACCAAGTTCATATAAGTATAAGCCTTTCTCCTAGTGTCAGGGACTTAGAGTTATATAGGCTTGGATTCTCTTAATACAAAAACTTACACGTAAAAAATGACTTGCCTCATGTGAGATTCCACATGATATTATGAATAGAAAAAATATGAACACATATACGTAGTGTCTTTCAAGCAACACTGAAAACAAATATTTCCATCAAAATTTCAGTTTTATGATCTTACCACATTTCCCATAGATTACACCAAATTGCTGCATTAATTCAGCTTCAGTTTTAAATGGAGAGTACTTATAAATTATAGACAATTCCGTTGAGAATTTCTGAGGATCATCTGTGACAGATTCTCTGGTTCTTGTTAACCATGAAGGTATTGGAACCACAACCTATATAAAAAAAATCAATTTACTATGAAATACACAAATAAAAACCATCATTCTTTTTGTCTGATCCTAATTCAGTCCACTCTTCAGACAAATTACCAAACACAAAGTTAAAAGTTTACTCCTCTCCTGTATTCTAGTTTTATGAGGAAGAGACACATAACAAATCTGTATAGTCAGGATTTTATTCTAAAATGCTCAATTGTGCAATGGGACAGATACAATCTACTTCTACTCTCTTTTGAAATATGGGTAGAACGGCAGGGGAAGCAACAGTATTGGCATTTTATAAGTTGAAAAGTAGAAGACAGCATATCCAAGAAAACCAATCCAAAGCCCATGCAGGAAAACAGAAGAACCAGCTTGATTTAAAATTCATAATCCCTTAAAATGGCATAGAAATTGATGGCACAAATTAACTCTAGAGGTAGGCAAAGGGGTAAGGGAGCTGGAAATGCATCCAGACTCCCATCTGACAATAGCTCTTCCCCTACATCCACAAAGACTGGATAGTCACTCTGGAAAGAGTGGGACAAAGCGTTCCTGCATCAAATGACATACCAGGCAGTTGTCAGGGGGCCTTACTGAAATTAGAGTCATTAAGTGGAAAAAATATAAAGAGAGATGATATAGATATAGGTAGATAGTTATATAGATATAATATACATATGAATGATACTGAGAACCCCAAATCTCTTCTCCCATTCAGCTCCCAGAAGACTGTCAGGTAGCCCTTCAGGCAGAAGACTGCAGGAGTCTTCTCTGAGAAATCTGACCAGCCCAGAAGGAAAGACATAAAGAAAATACACTGAGGGTTTTCCAACAACACAGCCCAGCTAGATATTGTTATTGTGACACTCATAGCTGCCAAGCCCTCCACATTCTCAGAGCTTTCAATCAGCATTTTATTGAACTAATCTTTAAAGTACATCAGGTTCTCAAATAAAGTCCTTTTGTTCAACATTGTTCCATTACAATGTTGACGAGAAAAAAAAAATGATTCCTGGACAGGGTCACTGTCTGTTGAGTTTGCACGTTCTCCCCATGTCTGTGTGGGTTTTCTCTGGGTACACTAGTGTCCTCCCATATCCCACAGATGCACACATGAGGTGAATCTGCATGTCTACACTGTTCCAGTCTGAGTGACTGTAGGTGTGTGAGTGCACCCTGAGATGGAAGGATGTCCTGTCCAGGGTGGGTTCATGCCTTGTACCCTAAGCTGCTGGGAGAGGCTCCTACCCCTGGCAGCCCTGCACTGGAATAAGTGGATTGGAGAAGAATTCTCTTATTTGTTTTTACTGATCTTTCTTAAATGTATGTATAGCTCACATTTATTTCAATGTTTAGTATTAGAAGTGTTTTGGGTCTTTACTTAGAAGTTTGGTGATGTTTTTGAGACCAGAAGTATGCTATAGGAACTTAACTCTTGTTTATTATAATATACAATTAGCCTATGGTAAAATTGGCTTCATTACACATTGTTTTGCTTAAAGACACAGTTTCCAAAAACCTACCCGTAACATTGAGGACTTACTGTATTCAGAATGAATAACCATCTAAGAAAAGCATCTAATATGATAAATAGAGATCAAATAAACAAGTATAAACAAAAACTCAATGGAAACAAAAACTGTAAGAGGAACATGAAAATTTCAGGGGAAAAAAATTAATCATTGTTAGTATCTTCAGAGTTCTATGAGAAAACACTGTATCCATGAAACAAGAACTAGATATATTTTCAAAAGTAACATTGAGAGAATAGAAAAGACTTCTTGAAAATTAAGAATATGGTTATAAAGAAAGAATTTCTATGAAAGAGTTGAAAGGTAAATGTTATAAAATCTCCCAGCAAAGAAAACAAAAATACAAAGGACAAAAGGTAGGGCAGGAAAGAGAAGAAAATTAAAGAACTAGTCCCTGATGTCCAAGAGCTAAGAATCAGGAGTTATAAAAGAATATGGGTGAAAGAAATTATCAAATGTTGCAGGAAAATATCCCAGGATTGAAGGATATGAGTTTCCAGATTGAAAACATACAATAAGCACTCAGCACAATAGATGCAAATAGACTCGCCCAAAGGCAAAACATTGGAATCAGAACATTGAAAATAAAGAAGATTCTTCTGACATTCAAAAAGTAGAAGGGTGAAAATAAGAATAAGTCACATACAAGACTCAGGAGTTAAAATGGCTTCTGACATTTCAATAACAACACTATACATTAGAAGATAATGGAGAAATGCCTTCAAAGCTCTGAGGGAAATTTATTCCAACCTAGAAATAATACCAAACCAAACTATCATTAAGTTTTCAAGCAAGATGAAAACATTTTCATGCATGTGTGTGAGGTCTAAAAACATTTTACCTCTCATACGCCCTTACTAAGAAAGCTACTGGAGGGTATGTTATACCAAGAAGAAGGAGCAAGCTAGGAAAGAACACGTGCGATTTAAGATCTAGGATCTGAGATCTGATACAGAAGAAAGGTGAAGAAACTCGCTAGGACAGTGACAAGGACAGATCCCAGGACGGCGGCTGTACGCCACCCACAGGAAGCAGAAGCGTGAGCTGCGACTCATGAGAAACGATGAATGCAGAAAACCATGCAAATATTCAGTGGTAGTGTTAAGTACAAGAACACTAAGCAGACAATTGTTAATTCCAGGGAAAATAAAAAGTTACATGGGAAAGAGAAAAAATAATAGTTTATGACATGGTACAATTGTGAATAGTGTTTTTATATAGTCTCATAATGTAAATACTGTAACTATCATTACAATCAAGCTACGATGAGGGTGGAGAATTGAAAGGGTGTGTGTGTGTGAGAGAGAGATATGGGCAGAGGAAAAAAATAGATAAATCTCCCTTTGTTATCATGGGAGGTTAATAGATAATGCATAAATCAAATCAAGAACTAACAACACAAGCACAGTACATAGATACCCAAAAAAATATCAAAATAATCAGCTAATATTGTTTAAAGAGATTGCCTCTGTGGAAAAGGAAAGAGGTTGCTGGTTTTAGCACCCCCAAAAAAAATGGGGGAGAAGAGAATGGTCCATTTTAAGAAAGCTATAACCTCAGTTTTGGCCTAATTTCCCATGCCCTTTACATACATAAAGCATCAAGTTGCACGTTTCCTCATGTCAGAATCCCACTCGACTACTCCCTATTGCCTGTAGACTATTCCTATTACCCAGGCCCACTCCACTGCTGCTGTGGACACGCTGTGCTCCTGCTGGGCAACTTCACATTTCCATACTGTACCCCCAAACGCCATACTCATGTCCAGTCTGGGACATGCTGTATGCCACTTCTCTGTACGAACCAGCCTTTCCAGTTGCAAGTTGTACTCGCTCCATAAAACCCTCATTGACCACTCAAGGCTCTCTAATCTCTCCATCCATATCATTGCTTTTGGCAATTCATAACAGCAGGAACACATATTCATTGTTCTTTTTAAACATCTTCATTTTGTTATTTATCCAATTCATATGCATCTGCCTTATTTTGTGACAATGCTGAAAACACTTTGACAATCAGTAGATGATCTGATAGATGATCTGAAGTAGATGATCTTCTACTTGTTTTCTACCTTACACAGGGTCTATCCAGTGCTGGGCAGACATCAGTTTACAACACATACTTTCTGCACTGAATTATAACTGATGTTCTTAATAGTAAAACTCAGACGCTGAAAATTAATAAAATGTCTCTGGGTCATCAAGTGGAGTTAAAATTATGGTCACTAGAGTTATAGTTTTATTCTATTTCACATTCAATTCTTTTAGATTTTTGTATTCCCAGTCTTTAAATTCAATGTTCTATTTATTTTTAAAATGATAATCTATTTATGGTACATAATGGCAGAAATGTTTTGCAGACTTCTTTGAAAAAAGCTCATTGTGCCAAAAGGAGCCCCTTATCCTGGGAGATTTGAGTACATGGATAAGGAAAATAAAGTCCTGCAAAATGCCTAGAAGTCAAAAACTCACTCAAGAAAGGGTCAATAGGACAGGCCTCCAATAACCCCAGAATGGCCAGCTACCCTCCCTCCATTTTCAAAACATATTCCTAAATTTCTAAATCAGAATCGTAAAGAACTTACGATAGACTTCACCCCCTTATATGGGAAGTGAAAACTACACTGTTACCAATGGAACCGAAGAAAAATCGCAACTCACCTCACTCAGACCTTCTCTTTCACAGAATGTCTGAGAAAAAAACACACAGGTCATCGTTTCCTCCTTCTTTGTGAAAAGAATAAAGTCTTTTCCAATCCTCATGGATCCACTATATTAAAAATCAAGAACATAACGGTTTACAACTCAAACACTAACAAGAAGGAACAGGCAGGCATGGAACTGTGTGCTGTAACAGGTTGTTCTCTTCACCGAAATAACGCCACTGTTTTGCTGACCCTCATTAAGAGGTATAATATGATTTTTGTTCTCAAAGTAGAGCAGATGGATTTGAATTAATCCAGCCCCACAGTCTTGCTTGAGACACGGCTGCTGGAGATAAGGTGCTGTGGGGGCTGAAGAAAAAAAACAACAATCATCTGTCCCTGGCAGGCGCCACAGTGGTGACAGTGACCTCATAACCTTGCCTTTCATTGAAGCATACTAATAAAATAAGCTGCGGGCACAAATAATACCTGCACTAAACTATGCTTTGAGAAACAATAGAACATAGAGATACAATGAAGCTTTAAAGTACAGCAATGCTGGAAAGAAGACTCATCATCTATTTGAAAATTAATTTTTAAAATGTAAAGATCCAAGTCCACTAAGGGTATGGAGATTCCAAACAAGGTAGGACTCCCAAATTTATATTATTTTTAAGCTTTACAAACTTGGACCATTCTGTTATAAGACTGCTTTTAACTATTGTTCCCAATATCAATACTCGCCTTAAAGGAAAAAAATTTCTCACCTTTTAAGACCATTGCCATATTGCCCAATGAACTTTAAGGTCGATAACCGTTTCTTGGATGTTCCAAAGTAAATGATGTCGGAGGCTTCCTCTGCAATTGACAAAGACATTTAAGGTGGTTAAGAATTATGACAGTGACCAGAGGCTCAATTGTCACAACGTCACACATATCTCAGGACATTAGGACAAATGCATACCTTTTGGGTCAGCCCAGAAACAAGGATCCTTGTCAGGCTCCATCATCTGTGACTAGAATCTTAACAGTATTATATTTGAAGTTCACCAGATAGACTTAGCCATGCATTGGCTTGGAGTAAATAAGAATTTAAAACTCTGAATGTTAATTTTCTTGTCTCTAAAGGGAACTATTAATACTTCTATCACAGAGTTATGAAGATAAAAGAAATGACTTAGATGAGATGATGTATCTGTGAAACCCTGAATATAACACATGGCACTTGATAAATGCTAATAAATTGCAAGCATTATGATGATTTGTACCACTAGTAATGTTCCATGGATTTGGCTCTTATCCAGCCCCACATGAGACTGAGAAGAGCAGAATGGCTTCTGTTCTGATACTACTTGGGAAAGAAGGGATACTTGTTTCAGACGCTCAGAGTTAGACTCCTGAGCTCTCAGGGCATTCTGGAATCCTAGAGAAGAATTCAATGGACCTCAGAAAACGCATACCTCCAGAAACAGGGATGATCCCAGGGCAACAGGAAAAGATAGAAATGGCTCTCCCAATTGGCCTAACTGAATACACGCTCTAGAATTGCCCAGAGGGCCCTGTGTCAGTCTGGGGGCAGACAGGCTATAAGTACAGTGATACCCAGTATGGGCATGTAAAGGCTACCAGGCACTTTGCTTGCTAAAAGCTAACTGGATATTCAATCACATGTTCTTATAAGGTGTTAGGCATTAGGTGAGGGTGTCCATAATGACAATATTAGTTACCATTTATTGATTGTCTAGTACAGGGGTCAGCAAACTTTTGAGACGGAAGAGCCAATCCTGTCCCTCACAACAATTTAAAAATTATTCGAGAGCCATAAAACAAATAAAATTACCATTATGTGGATAATATCCTTTAAAAATTTTACAAATGAACCTATGATAGTTTCATTTCCATTTTCAATTTTCCTTCAGAGTCACATGTACGTACTCAAAGAGCCACATGTGGCTCACGAGCCACAGTTTGCTGACCCCTGGTCTAATATGTGTTAGGTACTATATTATATATTTACATTAACTATTTAATATTTATAACAGAACTACAAGAAAGATATTATTATGTTCTGAATATGACAGATGAGAAAATTTAAGAAATGTATGTAATCTGCCTAACGTCACACGGCTGATACATGCTACTGCCAGGATTACAGCCCAGAGTTGTCAAAGACCAAATCTTATGGTTTTCATCGTATACTACATAGACTCCCGCGTACGGTGGCCAGAGTTCTGGGCAAAGGGACAGAACTCTGAATAGGACAGATACGACCCCTGCTCTCAACAACTTTATGTAATGGTAGGAGAAACAGACTGAAATAAGTAGGCAAACAAACAAGTTCATTTCTGAGAGTGTTAAGCCAAGGAAACAAAACCAGGGTGATGTGATAGAGGAGTGTGGCCTGCAGACAGAATGATCAGGGAAGGTCGCTTTCATAAGGTGACATCTGAGATGAGATTCAAATAATGGAGCGCCAGTCAAGTGTGGCTGGAGTGCTAGCAGCAAGGAAGTGAACAGGAGAAAAGATCAGAGGCCAAATAATGCAAAAGCCAAAATTAGCCAAAGTCAGAACAAGAACTGTAGGATATCTGAGCATTTCTAAACCAGCTAATAAATTATTTGACTATTCAGACCAAGGGGAGAACTTCAGAGACTCAAAAAAATCTAAAGCATTACTAGGGAGTATGAATTAATCTAAAGTAATGGAAAACCACTAAGAGTTTTAAGCAGCAGAATGACATGATATGATTTCTATTAAAATAAAAAAAATGCATTAAGGATTTCTGATGGGGAGAGGAATATAACGGGACAAGACTGGAGGTGAAACAAGTTTGGAAATTACTGCAGGCATCTTCTATTAGTCAGGTTTGATCTGGACAACAGATAGGTTCTTTTTTTCAGACATCAGATAAACTCTTCCTCCTAACTAATTACTTAATGTCCAATCAATGTTAATAAAGAATTGCTCCCTCAACACTAGTGAGCTTTTTTAATACTATTGTATATGTCAACTGAAGTGTGAGTTCCTTCAAAAGATCTGAGTATTAGTCACTTGTCTGTGTTTTGATCATTTTATTTATGGACCCATATAAAAGGAGTTGCTTCTGTTTTTAAAGAACTGCCTTGGGATACATCATATATTCTGTAATTTATTTTAAGAATTCAGGGAAATTAACTTAACATTGAACCTAGCAGTGAAGAAAATGAAACTGCTTTCTCAGCATGGTTTTCTCACAAACTCTGCTTTCTCTTTTTTAAACACTAAGAACCAACAATACTTTTAATCAAAATGACCTGGAAAAATCAAAATTATCCAAACAAAGACAGAACAAGATCTGAGTAGGATATTTGAGCATTTCTAAACTTGCTAGTAAATATTCTTTGACTGTTCAGATCAAGGGGGAACTTCAGACACTCAGAAGAAGATAAGTGTTTTATTTTGTATTCCTACCTTCTATCAGCACCAATGAGCTGTCTTTCCTCTGCTATGGGACTTACTAGAACGGTTCCATTATTACTTGAACTCACAATTTTAAACCCAGTCAGTCAAAAACTTTGCTTTGTGGGACATAGACAAGTGTTATAAGAATTCCGCAATAAGCTATCCCAAATAACTCAAAGCCCTCAACAGAGGGAATAAACATTTCAGTTCCACAGCAAATAGGTATTGTACACCTACTATATTCTGGCTTTTTGTGAGCCTTGAAGATACAAAGATGAGTCATGCAATGTTTTATAGATGTATTCATTATGATGGGTACATTCAACTGAAGCAACTAAACCTTTGAAAATGCAGAGAAAAATCACAAACTGCTAAAAACAAGGAGAGGTGACCTTTACCCCAAGGTAAAATAGGAAATTAAAAATAGCCTAAAAGCACTGAAAACTGCCTCAAAGCTCTTCTTGCAAGCAACATCTGAAGGATGGTCTAAAAACAGTCTCAGAGTCCAACCAGTTACTATTTTCATTCTATTCATTTCCAGATGCGTTTTCTCATAAATAATCAAGTGCCTTCTGTCTTTCATTTTTCTGGCAATATTTATTTACATACATTTTGTGTCTTGGTTTAGATGGTTACAATGAATTTACTCTGTCAGCTGAAGTATTTAAATCTTAAAAGTTCAAAGGTATGTTAATTCTGGGGTTTATTTTCCCCCATAGCTTCATACCTGTTTTTGCATAGATAGCTCAATTTACTTTTATTTATTTTATGGTTTTTCAGGCTGTTTCCTCTAACAGCCAGTTAGGTATCTAGACAATTAACTTACCAGGGCTCATACCGCATCCATCATCCAGAAAGCACAACATGAATCCACCCTGCAGTTTTTCATTAGCCACTGTAAGAAAAAGCAGTTATTATTAATAAATATTGGGCTAATTTGTTCATCAGAAAGTCATGCTGCTCATATAATTATTCATCCTCAAATGCAGCCACGGAGTGACAGTGTTATGACACAATGATAGAGCTCAGAAAGGCGTTTTGACTACGTTTTCACAAGAAACTGCAGGGGGAAAACAATCAAGCAACAAAAAGGCTTTGAATTAACATAAAACATCTACACATTAATAAATTATGTATACAGCATGCTATGCCCTGCTCTGGAATGTGACTAGTCCTTTAAACTTCTGCTATGTCCTCCCTGGGGGAGGGAATAAAAGTAGGTGGTAATGTGGCTCCAGGATCCTTCTATCCAAACTGATCAACCTTTATTCCCTTCCACCAAAGCATTAATTCTAAAGTCAACCCAGGCCATTCTTAGTAAATTCATCAGGCTGTCTTCTAAGCACTTAATTCCCATAAGAGCCATTTGAGAATCATTCTTAGTGGCAGTAAATATTTGCCTCTTGAAGATGCATTTGATTTTTGAAAATGGCTAAGTTATTTAGAATCAATTTTGATGATTAAGACATATCATTATGTTATATAATCTAATCTAATCACTTGTTAAAAAAATTAAAGGTGTAACTAAAACTAATGAGATTAATTTTATTGCATGGTTTATAATCTAGCCCTGAAAGTAATTTTGACATTTGGATATATGAGTATTAGCACATTTTTTTAAAACAGTTTTATTGAGAAACAGCTTACATACACAAAAAAATGTACATGCATCAAGTGTACAATTTGGTATATTTTGATATATGTATATATACACATAAAAGTATCACCACAATCAAAGCAGTGAACACATCCATCAGCCCAGATGTTTCTCTGTGTCCCTTTGTAATGTCTCCCTTCTGCCCCCTCGAAGCCCCAGCACCTCACCCTCCCCCAGGCAGCCACTGATTTGCTAATTTTGTCCTTATCGATTCATTTCTGGCACATTTGTTAAATCAATATATGTGTGCAACAGTCCCCTCTAATTCACATTTTAAAAATTCAATAATGTTCAAGATAATCCATGAATAAATATCTAAGAAACATACCTAAGCTTTCTGGGTTCATAATTTTATGGTCGGGTGCCCACTTATAAATCCTCCTTCTCTAATTCACTTCCTGACTATAAACCCTCTGGATCATCCCTACCATCTTATTTTCCCAGTTTTTTCTCTCTATCTGGTCCTCTGGTCTGCTTACTTCAACTTCTATGTCAAAATATTCCTCCACACCCCTCCCTTCCTCCCCCCCACCACACCCCTGCTCTTTAAGTATTTGCTCTGTTCAGTCCTCCCTCTGACTAAAGCTGGCATTTCTCCACTGTTCATCAAAGGGAATCCAACTCTTGTGAAGTTCTTTGCACAACACAGTAGTTCTCAACCTTGGCTGCACATGAATCATCTGGAGATATTATGAATTAATTGGGTCTTGGGTAGGGTTCAGGAATAAAAGCCCAACCTCCAATTATTCTAATGTTTATGAGAATTGGGAACCACCTGATCCAAGCCTCAGGCTCTGCATAGTTGTGACAGTTGATTTTGCAGCTCTTGGTATATAGTTCTCATGAAAGAAGCTTGCACAACGAAGGGCACTTCTTCAGTGAATATGTGAGAAAGACCCGAAATGCCCAAGAGACATATACAGTACTTACAGTTACAGTCACACATACACACACACACACACACACACACGCACACACACAGGTGCCAAAAAAGTATACACATTTTAAGAAAGAAAAACTGTATTAAAATTATAATACTAAATATATACTAATAACAAAAGATGAATACAAGTCACATTTGACTTCTTCAATTACAAGAGGTGCTCAAAGTGGTTGCCATCAGCATCTAGACACTTCTGATTATGGCAAACTACTGCTTGAGCAATGTTGACCAAAGTGTCCACTTGTATATATTTTTTTGGCACCCCGGTATATATATATATATATATATATGTATATATGTATATATATATATATATGTATATATATATATACATATATATATATATGTATATATATATATATATATTCTATCTA